GGAAACCTAAAACCAGGACTTATACAGTCAGTGAGGAATCAACCGTCTTTGTGGTGTTTTAAGCTAAAAAAAACCTCAAACCTTCAGTCAGACTGAGAATAATTTGCTGAGAAGCAGAACAAAGTGGGAGCTGTGAGCGTGGAGCAGCTTGTTGGTAGTTGGAGGTTTATTGCTGAAAACTTCTAACCCAGTGCCTCTGAAAACAAAGCTAACAGAGCGGTGAGACGGAACCGCAATGATAATAGGCGTTAGGCACAGGCGGGCATAAAACCAGACCAATAAGCGGAAAAGATCCTAAAAGGCTCCATTAAGCTGAGGGAAAGTGAGAATCCTCTGTGGGTTTACGACTCTGAGCGACACTAGAGGCTTCTGATCCACTGCTGATGGTGATTATACCGGCTTCAGGTTAAACTACACAACAGCCAAAATATGAAAGAATAAAGAAGCGTTTTATCTGTCTTCATCAGTTCGAGGTGGTTTGTCTTTGATCTGCCCGTGTGGTCCGACAGAAGGAAACCAGAACGATCCCTCTCCATGTCAGATGTGTGATTAGCTTTCCCAGCTAACACCAGGCTCATGCGAGGCGCTGATTACGTGATCAGGAGGCGAGATGTTCATGCAGAACGAGATCAGCTCGGTCATCGTGTACGAACGCCACTCTGTCACCTCCAGACGCCCGGGTCCGGTTTCACGAGGCCGACTGTAACATTCAGGCCTGACCTCTGGCCCAGTTCCTCGTTCTCGCTCTTTGTTTCCCTACCGCCCTCTTGACAAGTTTTAACAAGCGGCGGGTTCTTGACCCTTTGAGTTGTGCAGCCGGAGCCTGATTGTTTGTGACAACAGCCTGGAGGGAGGTCTGCACAAACACTGACTGATGCTGCATCTCTGGAACGCTCTCAACACGTCTGCTGCATCTCTCAGTCTTTACAGCCTTCGGAGTTCACTTTCACGCTTTATGTTATAGATTTGGACATTAAATAAACTTTAGTATGTTTAATGAAGCAGAGTTCTACCTTCATGCTGTGAATGTTCCAGAGTTCCAGGTCCTTGAAGTCCACAGAGGAGGGTCCAGATTGATCACTTTAATGGACTTTTTCCATCATTTCTGAGCCTCAGAACTTCATCAGTGCAGCAGATAGACACATGACATTTAGGATGAGGAAAACTTTTCACACAAAGATGCAAATTCACCGCCAAAATAGTAAAATTACCACAAAAGACACAAAATCAACATGCAAAGAGGAAAAATGTGCAAAATAACCCCCAAAATAGGCCGAAATTGTCCCAAAGAGATGCAAATTTACCACACAAAGAGGTAAAATTGCCACAAAAGACATAAAACCACCTCAAAAACAGTGACATTACCCCAAAAAGATGCAATATTACCACCAAAAGACACAAAATCAACAATAACGAGGCAAAATTACCTCAGACTCAAAATTGCCGCAAAAAACTGTGAAATCACCACAAAAAGGGCCAAAATTATCCCAAAAAGATGCAAATTTACCACCTAAAGTAGTTAAATTACCACAAAGAGACACAAAAATACCCCAAAAAGAGATAAAATTAGCACACAAAGATGCAAATCCACCACAAAAAGATGCAAAATCAAGTGCATAAAGGGCTGAAATTAGCCCAAAAAGATGCAAATTTATAACCAAAAAAGGTAAATTTGCCGCAAAAGAAAAAAATCAACATGAAAAGATGCAGAAACACCTTCAAAAAGAGGCAAAACCTCAAAAACTCAAAATCTCCACAAAAAACGTGTGAAATCGCAGAAATAAGGGCCGAAATTAACCCAAAAAGATGTAGAAACACCACAAAACGGGCCAAAGTCGACACAAGAAGAATCAGGGTTCACTTCACATCCACTCCAGGTGTCACCACCAACTCTGAGCAGCAATAATATGGAGAAGTGCATTCTGGGTAAACTTTCCAGGCGCACATCAGCATGTGTGATGATCAGAACTAGTTCTAGACAACAGAAGGATCATTTTTACAGACATTTTACACGACATAGACTCATCTCCTCCTCTATCATTCCTCCATAGTTTCTAATAAAGTCGTATTTAGTCTCATAAATCTTGTGGCTGTTAAACGGAGAAACGAACCCTGGAGGTGTTTCTGCTGATTCACTGGAGAAAGAAAGACTTGTTTTGGGTAAATATTCGTAGCATGAAGGTGAAAAGGTGCATGTTTCATTAAATACGCTTTTTAAAAAAACCTCTTGTTTCTCTCATGCAGTGAGCCTCAGGTGTGTTCAGACCTGCTGCAGAATAAATATAATCCTGTGTGTTGATGCTGTGAAGCTCCTCACAGCTGCACATCTGGCTGCTGCTGCTTTACTTTTCTGTCTTCTTTTATATCAGTAGAACAAAACAACAGCTTCTTCTAAAACCAGTAATCATGTTTTGTGACTTCATGTGTCGGCCCTGATGCTGCGTCTCTTCAGAGCTTCTTTCAGACACTTTTAGCAGACGGTAAATTATGCATGGAGTTCAGCAGGCCCCGGCCGCCTCCTGCCAGCTTTTAGCCTCGTAATCTGCCTCCGATGCAGCCGTTTGTGGAGACGAGAGGCGAGGAGGAGCATCGCATCGCACAGGTACCCGGCCTCGGCTAAACCCTCCTCCTCCCCCAGCAAATGTACTGAGCAGCTGTTTGTGAGGAAGTCGCTGGAGAGACGCTGCATGGAAAAAGGAGGCGAGCCAGCTGGGCGGGGAGCAGTGGGAAGATTTTTTCCACTTGTGTCTGTCTGATGGAGACACGCTGGTTCCTTCACGGCGAGTTATTGGTCTCCGTGCGAGCAGACCTTCACATGCAGCCTTTGTGAATGTAGCCGGTGCTGAAGAGCAGCAGGCAGGAAGGACGCTTTAGTTCCTGCAACAAAGCAGACGTTAAATCTGTCACAGCACCTTAAATATACTCGTTTGTTGTTATTTTTTAGAGCAGGAAACTGCAACTAAGTGTGATGTTTTATTTATTAGTAAAGAAAAAACTTCCCCCAAATCTCTTTTTTATCTCCAATAACTTCAGTGTATTTAATGAAGCACAGTTTTACCTTCAAACTATGAACGTTTTCAAAGTTAAAGCTCCTCAAACTACACATCTCATGCTTTTTAATGTGCATTTATTTTTCCAGCATGTCTGGAAAANGTGGTTCAGTGTCTAATCCAAACCAGTAAACCAGGACTGAGTGGTTCAGTGTCTAATCTAAACCAGTAGACCAGGACTGGGTGGTTCAGTGTCTGATCTAAACCAGTAAACCAGGACTGGGTGGTTCAGTGTCTTCATGGTTCCATCTGGAGCTTCTCAGATCCACAGATCCAGAGAGAGTCTTCTTCCTGAAGGGGGTGGGAAACCTAAAACCAGGACTTATACAGTCAGTGAGGAATCAACCGTCTTTGTGGTGTTTTAAGCTAAAAAAAACCTCAAACCTTCAGTCAGACTGAGAATAATTTGCTGAGAAGCAGAACAAAGTGGGAGCTGTGAGCGTGGAGCAGCTTGTTGGTAGTTGGAGGTTTATTGCTGAAAACTTCTAACCCAGTGCCTCTGAAAACAAAGCTAACAGAGCGGTGAGACGGAACCGCAATGATAATAGGCGTTAGGCACAGGCGGGCATAAAACCAGACCAATAAGCGGAAAAGATCCTAAAAGGCTCCATTAAGCTGAGGGAAAGTGAGAATCCTCTGTGGGTTTACGACTCTGAGCGACACTAGAGGCTTCTGATCCACTGCTGATGGTGATTATACCGGCTTCAGGTTAAACTACACAACAGCCAAAATATGAAAGAATAAAGAAGCGTTTTATCTGTCTTCATCAGTTCGAGGTGGTTTGTCTTTGATCTGCCCGTGTGGTCCGACAGAAGGAAACCAGAATGATCCCTCTCCATGTCAGATGTGTGATTAGCTTTCCCAGCTAACACCAGGCTCATGCGAGGCGCTGATTACGTGATCAGGAGGCGAGATGTTCATGCAGAACGAGATCAGCTCGGTCATCGTGTACGAACGCCACTCTGTCACCTCCAGACGCCCGGGTCCGGTTTCACGAGGCCGACTGTAACATTCAGGCCTGACCTCTGGCCCAGTTCCTCGTTCTCGCTCTTTGTTTCCCTACCGCCCTCTTGACAAGTTTTAACAAGCGGCGGGTTCTTGACCCTTTGAGTTGTGCAGCCGGAGCCTGATTGTTTGTGACAACAGCCTGGAGGGAGGTCTGCACAAACACTGACTGATGCTGCATCTCTGGAACGCTCTCAACACGTCTGCTGCATCTCTCAGTCTTTACAGCCTTCGGAGTTCACTTTCACGCTTTATGTTATAGATTTGGACATTAAATAAACTTTAGTATGTTTAATGAAGCAGAGTTCTACCTTCATGCTGTGAATGTTCCAGAGTTCCAGGTCCTTGAAGTCCACAGAGGAGGGTCCAGATTGATCACTTTAATGGACTTTTTCCATCATTTCTGAGCCTCAGAACTTCATCAGTGCAGCAGATAGACACATGACATTTAGGATGAGGAAAACTTTTCACACAAAGATGCAAATTCACCGCCAAAATAGTAAAATTACCACAAAAGACACAAAATCAACATGCAAAGAGGAAAAATGTGCAAAATAACCCCCAAAATAGGCCGAAATTGTCCCAAAGAGATGCAAATTTACCACACAAAGAGGTAAAATTGCCACAAAAGACA